AAGAGCAGGCTTTTACCACTTTTCTCCAGCTCTTATTATTTTAGACTAGATCTCACTCTTGCCCAGACTGTGGCCTTAAACACCAATAATCCTTTCTGCCTCAGCCATAGAAGTGTTAAGAGTGCCGATGTGAGCAGCCACACAAAGATTTGGCCTCAACTTTGAAACTTTCTTTTCACTTTGTATTTTGATGTAAAGTCATATTTAGAAGCCAGTGTAATCCTAGAACTTGAAGTGGAGGCAGGAGAATAGAGTTCAAGGATAGTGCAGGCTTTATAGTCTCAAAACAAAACATTGGACATAGAGAAAAGTTACAATAGTCTTAACAATTCTAGAATCATTGGAGCTACAGGGTCAGGTGGTTTATGTGAGTGTGACATTTTTAACAAGGTAGGCTCCCTGCATTCATTGTGTACGTGTTAGTATGCATTCCGGCGTGACCTTCTGGAAGTCCTCCCCTTTTACCATGTGGTCCCCAGGGATGAACTTGGGTAGTCAGGTGGCCTTGACAACAGCTGTCACTGGCTTTTTGTTTTTGTTTTTTAAGTCCTTTTTCCTGAAGGATTTGATAATGTTGGGAGGTTGGTCTCCATCAACTTTGTACCCAGTATCATTCACATAGCCTTTGCCTTCAACTGTGTTTCCTAAAATCAAGGACATTCTCTTGTTTTTAACTGATTCTGTGTTACTGGGGATTGAACCAAGGCCCCGGTGTGTGCTAGATAGTTTGCTTTACCACAGACTTGGACCCCAGCACCTTACTACTTTCATTAATTTGTGGTTAGCATTATGATTCTGTTTTGTTTCGTTTTTCAAGACACGGTTTCTCTGTGTAGCCTTGGCTGTTCTGGACTTACTTTGTAGACCAGGTTGGCCTCACACACTATCCACCTGCCTCTGCCTTACCAGTGCTGGGATTAAAGGCGTGTGCCATCACATCCAGCATAGCATAATGATTTTATTCTGACTTTTTTTTTTTTTTTTTGAGTCAGGTTCTTGTAGCTCACACTAGTCTCCAACTGCTGAACTTCCTGTCTGAACCTCCCAGCTGTTTAGATTATAGGCCTGTTCTATTTGCACACACGTAGGGCACTATACGCTTTCCTTATTCCACCTCTAAACTCCCTCATCCACATTGCTGCTGGTCCCCTTCCCCACATATACCCTGATCTGCTTCATGTCACATACCCCTCTACCTTATCTTTATATTTACATATATATGTAAAAAATTTATATATAAATATTATATATATATATATATATATATATATATATATATTTTTTTTTTTTTTTTTTTTTTTTTTTTTTTTTC